CTTTTTCATGGCCTTATTCACTTTTTTGCAAAACCTTTTTTTTTTTATTTTGATACAAAAGTTCTTTTTGAGATCAATTGTTAAACTTCCTCGGTAGTATAGTGGTGAGTATCTCACATTGTCGCACATTAATCATTACAACCCACAAAAATTGAAGATTTCGAAAACATCACCCAATATTCGCACAATACGCATCCAAAAAACATTTAATAATGCTTAACAGTTACTAAAATACAATAAATAATTGAAATGACAAACAAATGGAGAAAACTCTATAAACTACCTACATCTTGAGCTTAAAAGAGGCCAAATGGTGATTTAAAGAAGCAAACTCAATATTCTATTGATATTCATAGATCTTCTTAGTGTGTCACGCATTTTTAGATATTAATGAAGGAATTTTTTGAATACTTATCAATGAACGAATATATAGGCAGCATTGTGAGATAAGAATCATAGCTTGTTTTTTGAATTATTTAAAATATTTTTTCTTGAAAGAAAAAGAAGATTCGTTTAAAATTTTTAAGAACAATGGTATTAGGCTCATAAATGTGAATTTTAACATATATATTGCTCAAAAATATCTCCTAGCTATATCTATCTATTCAGTAAAACTTAGAATTTCTCATGTATGGGAAAATATTCTTTTCTTTGACACTAACGATCTTATCGCAATGTTTATTCTTTACTCAAAGAATTTACATGACTATTGATTGCAAAATTCAGATAAATTGAATTCATCGTGATTACATAAAATTTAAGTGCTATTTTAACATGAGTAAATAATAGGATTTTTGTGTTAATAGTGCCAAAGAATAGGAACTGGGAACAAAATTTGTCACTTGATTCTGTTTACAATTTGAATTGTGAATCAATATTATTATCTAAGAAGTTATGTAAACTAACAATTGGTGATAAAATTGGGCATGTTAATGATGCGACAAATAATAAAAATATTTAACGAATTGTGATTCAACTAGTAAAGCCATGAAAATATACGATATTTTTATAGTTTCATTCATTACTATTGCATTTCTTCAATGACACTGAACAACAAAAAATGCAATGAATTTAACACAAAAAATGAGTCGAGGTGTGCCAATGGAACTTTATTTAATATGCAAAAAATGTGACATTAAATAATTGCATCAGTTCTGAGTCAAAACGTGGAAGTGAGGACTTAAAACATCAAAAGAAGCAAAACATTTGCATCACTAATTAAAATGAAGCAAAAAATTTGCATTATCAATGCATTTGATGCCAAAATAGTTTGCATCTTCAAGAAATTAGAAGCAAAAATTTTTCATCTTTAAAAATTTGTAAGCATACATTTCGCATCTCCAGAAAAAAATTAAGCAAACATTTTGCATCATTTGAAAACGGAAATGTTGCATCAATCATGAATTGCTGCATTTCCTCTACCTTAAAGCTTTTCACCTTGCACACATCTCGAGGACAAAGCTATCAAGCATGAAATATTTAAAGATTTATGACTGTTACTAAACAAAACATGACGACTTCAAACAAATTATTGCCACATTTAATTGTTTTCAAATAGCCAATAATTGGTCTATAAAAATATGTCTATTAAAATCATCATTATGATTATGATCATCAATAGATGTAATTTGTAAATGCATCAAATGTTCATTGTAAGATTTATTAATGAAACGGCAATATTTGTATACGAATAAAGACAAAAAAAAAATGAATGAATTGAAGTGGACGGACGACGACGCAAGCACATAGTGAGATAAAGATAACAAACACTGAATAATAGCAAAATATCATTGACATTAAATACAATAATTGGCTAATAAAGGCGTTGTCTGGTTAAACACTACAATTTTCCTAGTGTGTTGCTTGCTTATATGTCGCAACAAGTCATCATCCGTCCATCCAAGAAATTTTTGAAAAATGACATAAATAAGCACACACATGTAAATGTGATGCTGATGAAAATCAATGTCATGTTACACATTCAAAAAGCTGATAAAAGAGATTATGTTAAGCTTATTTAAACATGTGTTTGTACTTCACTGTCTGCATATTTGCCCCTTATTAAATATCTAAACATTCTTTCAGACAAGTTTTTTCGATTCGATTTGAGAAATTGCAACACGACTACTTTAATGTTGGTCTTAATTAATTAGCTTGTTGTAATGTTTTACAACTTTTGCCGTTGCTTTTGTTTCTTTTAATGCCCTGCTTACTCTTACAATATTAAGTTCATTAATGTAATATGCGGACGTGTACATGAAATTAAATTAAAGCACATTTTTCCTCATCCATGTTGATTTTTAAACGATAAACATTTATTCATGAAGGACATCATCACGCTGATGGTAAATGATTGATTAATAATTAATTAAAAATATAGAAATTCTTCAAAAACCGCACGCAATTGGGAAGTAAAGACAATAACAGGTCTAATCATAGATTGAATGTCAATTTATTCAGCGTTTAAGAATTGATGTTTTGCAAGAAATAAATAAAAATAAGCAGCTTTTTTATTATTAGATTAAAAGAATCGCTATTCGGTATTTATAAACAACCGTGCAAGTCTAAATTACTAAAACTTAGATTATTTCCATTATATAGCTTAAATATCTATTGTCAGAATGACGAGCAAAGTTTAATGTTATTAAGAATATTGCAATTTTTTTAATAGACTCTTGGTTGTTGTTATTAATGATCAAACACTATTAAGGTGTTCAAAATGTAATTAGTTTGAAAATGTTTAAGTCGAATCCATCAGAAATCATCAAAATTTTAATTGTTAATGACAGGTAAATCACATTCTGCGGATATTAAGTTATTTAATTTATCCAATAAATAACTTAATAAAGAAAAAAATCACCAAAAATATATTTTTTGTTGATTTTTTCAATTTTGTGCGTTGCAAAAAAATTGTAATTTAGATTTGACTCACTCAAGTCTGTTGCTAAATTTTAATCTTACATGAATTCATCACAAAGGAATCATAAAATAAATTCCTTCAGTCTGCAAAATCAAAAATCAACAATCCGAAAATGTTTGCAAATCAAATCAAATATTACAAAATTAAATAAATGCGAAAGATTAGCATAATCAAACAGGATACAACAATCATTTGAGCACCAATGGAAATAAAAATTCGCGATGTTTGCACAGATTTGATTTCAACCTGATGAAGTTTGTCAACTTGATTTGCTTTAATTAGAATATTCTATGCTGAGGGTTTTCCCAAATCTTTCAAAATTCTAATTAGAATCCAAAATGAAGTCAATCATCAAATAATAATGAAGAAAATGAGAACTAAGCTCTAAATTAATCATATTAAGCCCTTTGTAGGAAGACACACAAGTTCTGGCCGTAAAAAAATAAATCTCGTGATGTGAAGAACATTCTTAGTTGTTAATGGAAGATCGTCGTCTTTATTGGAACTAAAAAAAACATCAAAAAGAAGCTCACAGGTGGAGATGATCAATAAAATAAAGAAGAATCGTTTCGGTAATTTGCATAAAAGCAAACTTAAGTGTTCTCAAAGATTCTCGAGAAGAGGAAAAACTTGAAATGTGAGAAGAAGATAAAAATTCTAGAAAAAAAATGTGAGAATGAATTGTCGCTATCTGTTGCTTATTGAGTGATATGCCCAAATTTACTGTTGCATCAATCAATTCTTGATGAATTCTAGATCAAATTTGATTGATTTTCCAAATGAATTTACAACTCAGAATAATATTTTATTTGAACAGGTGTGTCTTCGAATTAATAAGGCAGCGTTTTATTTTTATTCAAAGCATCAATTAATCACTAAGTGCTTCATTAAGTAAACTTTTTTACTCTTCATAATAAATTCAGATGCTTATTCAATTAATTTGAATTTACGAGTGATTTTATTATTTCATTTGATGATTGATTTGTCAAGTATTGAAGTAATAAAATATTAGTTCCGGTTTTCTGTTGAAACAAATGACAGAACTACGGTTTTTGAGTATGGGAACATATAGAAACCTTCTGAAACAGCTTTAAATTGCTAAGTTAACCTTATGAAATTCTAAGAAACCAAGACTAGTTTTGGATGGCTACAATAGCTCTTGTTTCAGTTCCAGAAACTTCAAAAATTATATTAAGATTGAAAACAATCAAATCGCATCTTGATTATGGAAATAATCGAAAACTCGTGGAACTACAAATTAAAAAGATATAAAAATTTATAAAACATATCAAATAACTGAAAAATCATCCTCAAAACAACAACACAGCCGGTAGTTGAAATTCATAAGATTCAACCAGGAGATGACTACAAGCATCATTGTGAAGGTCTCAAGTGCTCAACCCAAGAAAAATAAATATGTTGAAATTGCCAGAAATGTTTGAACTCTGCACTTGCTTATTGTCTGTTTACTATTTATACAGTTGAGTCATTTAAAAATATCAACAAGGAAACAATAAAAGAGAATACATTAAAAATTGACATGATTGCTTGTCCATGAGTGGACGCAGCTACAAACCAATTAGCCAGTTCCATAAATTTTTAAATTTTTTTTCACTCTATTCCGGTTGTTTTAATAAGAATAAATCTTAAGATGAATATTTTTATGGGTGTGATGCAAGTTTAGTTTTAGATTGCATTATTAATATTGTGGAAGATCGTTAAAATATTTTTGTGAATTTAATTTTTCATCGACGAATTATGTCATTAAAATAATCTTAAAAATGATCTTGAAGATTAAAGTTTATGAATTGATTTTTGAACTTTTATTTATTTTATATTTTTTTTTCAAATTTTATTTTTTTCAAAATTTTTAACTTTAAGCTTTTAAAAATTTCATTTTTTAAATTTTAAAGTTTTCAATTTCTTATTTGAATTTAAAATTTTCAAATGATTAAAATTTTATTTTTTTTTAAAAAATTCTAGTTTCAACCCAAATCTCAATTCTTCCCAAATTTTCCGACAATTGTGCAACTTCAAATGAAATAAATTTTACAAAATAAAAATCTATGTAATAACTTACCGCACTGAGCATTAATGTAACTTCGTCGTGTTTCAGACGTGAAAGCATAATTGAAGCTATTGCAAGCACATAATCGCCAGCTTGTGTTACCTAAATTGTTAATAAAAATAGACATATTAATAAATATATGTTCATCATTTGTTTAAATACCAATTTCAAGTGCAACTTCATTCATAAAATATTTTCTTGTTATTTATTCAGCATTTCTTCTAACTTGCATAAACAAACAACAAATTATATTGTTATAATGTTGTAGGTTTCTGCCTCTTACATTACAAATAAGTCGTACAACTGTTAAACACAAACTACCTGTTACTTTTTAAATAGACTTTATATTTCAATACACACAGAACACCGAAATACAGAAAATGGTAAATGAAATGAAGCGTGAAAGAATGATGAAACTATATTGAATTGCAGAAAAACTAGTTGGATTGAATAAGAAGAAGCTTGATGGTAGGCGGAATTGTGTGAATTTTAATGAAAAATTGCAGTTTTGCGTTCTATTGACCGAAATATTTTCGCATGTAATCAATTTGTTGCGATAAAATTTTTTATTGGTTAAAAGAAAGTCTAAATTTAAGACAGCAGTGAACTACTCAAATAGCTTTATTGTAGTGTCGCGTCCTTACTTGACTACCTTGAGATCGTAATCTATGCAATTTTTATGCCGGTTTTTTAGCAATTTTTAATGTGCGTAAAATTTTTATCATTCAACTTCAATGTTGCTGAATTTATGATTAAGTTACGGTAAATTGATCAATTTTCCGGCTGTTTTAAGTTGAACAATCTTGGATTTATGTAAGTGCGATGGAGATTATGATTTGAATTGAGACAATAGAAGATTCTACGAAGGTTTTATGTTTGCGGTAGGTTCGAATTACGACACTTACGAAATGAAAGATTATTGAGCAAATTCAATACGTTCTTTGGGCTCAAAAAAGCTGTTCAATGAGGTCATATTGACCATGATTTATGAAATTATTGAAAGATTAAATTCTTGTTGAAATCGAACCAACGATTTCACGATGAAGAGTGCCAAAGATTTCTAGTCTGTTGCCCACCCATTTAGCCACCAAAACCTTATCTTGACATTGCTAGAATCGCTACCACATCCTCTTGTTGTTCAAACTACAAACTAAAACTATCTCAAAACCTTTAAATCGTAAAGCCATGCATCATTTTCGTAGATTCACAAGTAGACAAAAAGTCTCGTGACGCCCTGCACTTCAATTCAGAGTAAAAGGACACGATCATCATTATCTAATCAAGGCCACAAGCAATTACAGCACTCACAACAGCAATTACTACATCATAAAAGCTCCAAAATTTCATTAAATACCCGTAAAATCATCAATTTTACCCACAGCGATCATGATTGACATATTCATCACAACCTTTTCATGATGAAACAATACAATATCATTACGCCTCTTTTAAAATGTTCAATGACTCCTTTATACTCAACATTTTCATTCATGGTTCATCAGATTGATATGAGAAGAAATTATATTTTTTTCTTCTTTTCATCAATAAAGCATCTCCCCACCTTATCGCTTTAAAAAAAACTGCTGAGAGCTATGAAGCTTCGCAAGGTTAATACTACTGTCATTAATGATGCGTAAAATGATATTTAAAGAAAGCTTTACTACAATGATAGATAAGAGGAAGAAGAAGGAACACATTTCATTTTTTTCTTTTAAAATAATAATAATAAAGAGAAATGAATTTCGACGGTTGAAGATAAAAAGTACAAAAGAAATAAAAACGAAATAATACAAAAGCAATAAGCAAGTTTAAAAATCATTGCCAATAAACAATTCAATGAAAATATTTGTGTGTTAAAAGTATGTTTATATCACTTTCTTTTTTCACTTCATATGGAAGTAGACGAAGAGAGCTTTTTTTCAATCTTTATTTGTGTTCGTGTGATGAGATTCCGAATGAAATTTCATTCGATTAAGTTGATTAAATTTCATAATGAGACACGAGAAGAAAACTGCGTGTGTTTGAGATTTTTTTTAATTTTAAATTAATTTTGTGCACATGATTTCAGGTTTAAGATTTAAATTTAAATCTCATCAAATATGCGGAATGTCTAGTAAAATTTGGTATTCTGAAAAGAGCTTGGCGTAGATTTTATTATTTTAATTTTGTAGTTCTGTGTCTGTAATTTATGCAAGTATCAAGCACGTATGATGAGTTTGAAATGAGAAATAGAACTAAGAATCTGGGTTGCGAACCACTGGTTAGAGTAATATTACGAACATTGTGCGAATTACTGTCATATCGACAACAATTCATGAAAGAACCGAGCAGTTTCTGGTGAGAATCGAACTCAAGTCCTTGCAAAAGAGGATTTCAGATATCCCATCGTTTGCCTAATTACTTGGCTGTAGAAGACTTCCTTTCGAAATTGCAGATTAGCCTACATAATGCTCGATATCCCAGATTCTTCTCAGAGTCCATTGGTGGAAACAAAATGTTAAGTCACATGGGATTTTTAAGTTAAAGGTTCGAGTCTTTCTTTGATAACATTTTATCTAGTTTTATTTGTTTAACGAAAAGCTGAAGTAAAGCTCGTGACATTTTGACAAGTTTTTAAGTCTAGTTATTCAAAATTATTCCGTTTGAGGACTCAAGTTCGATTCCAAACCAAGTTCGAATCCTTTTATTCAAAACATGCCAACACTACAAGCTTATCCAGTGAGATCTAAGTTAAGGAAAATTTAAACCAAAGAAATAAACTTCAAAAATTACAAATTCGCATGCTTTTATAGCAATACTTTCATTCATTAAATTGTTTCTTTCTGTGTTAATTAGATGGTAGCATTAGTTACTAATTACAGTTCGTTACATCACATTGACACACTCAATTGTACAATTTTTGGACGATTTCTTCTCAAATTATTCTATCAATTATTTGACAAAAAGAAGAAAAAATATCGAAACAATCAAAATTGAGCTTAAGCTCACGAAGATTTCATTATAGGAAGTAACAATTAATTTTCTTTATATCACACGAGCTTCATTCATATCGTGGCAAGTAAAAAGCAATTTAAAATAATTGTCCCTCAAGCTGCCTGCTGATTTCTTTTTAATTTCCGCCTTTTTTTACTGACTACACTTCTTGTGTGCTTTATGAAGTAATGAAAACCACCATTGATGCATTGATGGGAAAACTTACTTACTGAGCATGGTCATTGTTAGTAGCCATGACACTCAAAAAATAAAAAAAAAGTAACAAGTCAGTGAAAAAGAAAACAAAATTATTTTCACGCATATTTAGACACAGAAAGTAATTTAATTTAATGTTTACAGAATTGTGTCCGAGATGTCACTGGAAGTGACACAATATTTAGACAATATAAAAATGAAATCTTATTCAAATTATCCAAGTTTTGTTTTCATGAGAAATTTTTGAGTTAATATAAGGAGGAAGTTGTCATGCCATAACAAGTGTCTCGTGAATTTTTTTTTGTGATTTTTAAATGTCATTTGACCTTCAGACCGAAAATTTTATTAGAAATGAATGCCTTAAATTCCGAAAAAGACAAGTCTTAAATGCTACCATAATTAATGGTTAAAATTTGAACTGGAATTTATTGAAAAACAATCAAATGCTTTGCATTTTTTACTTCATGGAGATTAAAAGTTTAAGTATAGGAAATCCAAGAGAGCTTACAATGGCACAATATGACCGTAATCAAATAACAATATCATATATGATTAAATTAATAATCTTAAGTCTTGAAGTTGCCGAAAAAAAAAATGCAACAATTAAAAGACAAAACTTCCTCATTTAGTTTACATTCAATTGACAGCTATCAAATGTATGTTTAAGTTGTGCACGTAAATGAGCTTTCAGGGACGCATCAAGCAAACGAGCGGAATCGATGCACATGGGCAAACATCAATGCAATATTCACTTGTATTTAGCTGATAGCATGTTGTCAAATGTGCAATAAATCGTGTGCTATTTACTATTTATTTATATAATAGACAAAGATATAAGGATGGGTCTCAAAATGCAAAGAATGATCATGTTACGTAATGCACGAAGCTCAATGCAAAAGCGGATTGGTGAGTAGAAAAAAATGCGACGAGTGGGAGAGCCTTGAAAATATCTCTATTTGATGATTTCCAAATGAAAACAAATAAATATAAATGATTTGATTGTTGCTGTATGTCAATATTGTTCGATGTATTCAGGAAATGTGGGTATGGAAATTAGCTTTATTTGTATTGACACATAAAACCGAAATAAATGTATTATGTTGCAAAAAAAACTATATATTATGAGCTTTACATCTTCGGGACCTTGACTTTTTTTTCATCTTTCTCTTACAAGCCCTTTTCTTTGTGTGCTATGCGTCGAAAAGCTTGTTTTTGAATGATTAATGCGCATTTTTAAGGAGGCTGTCTAGATACTTTTCAGGGTGATGACTGTGCTGCTTTTCTGGGTATTAAATTACTTTCTTTGGTCATAATGTATCCAAATTAGGTGTTTTCGGACTTGAAGATTGAGGACATTCACCAAAATTCACTATTCTCGGTCAAGATTGTGCTCAGACCATCTACTAGTCAAATAAAGACAGTGGCATCAAGTTTTTACCATTTTTAATTCTTATGCAAATTTATTTAAATCATAGTTGAAGTATATGGTTCCATAGCTTTTTTATAAGGTGCTAAATGCCATGAACAGGTTCTTTTGACAGAATTTATCAAATTTCAAGATTGCAATCCGTTTTGCACATCGTAAACTCAACCAAATTAAATGACCACAACATAAGCTGTTGTTCCTTTATATACCATAATCAATATTAACAGAGGATGATCATCCGAAAAGATTTGTCGATAATTACTCACAACATGACTTGTTCGAATGTCAAGTCAGTTTCTCTTATTTCAAAAGTAGCAACAGCAGTCGAGTCCGAGAGAAAGAGAGAAATTTTCACTTTGTACAAAAAAGGCAACAAAATTCGTCGTCGGTATCAGAAACAATAAAATGGCAATAACATTACAGTGAAAAATAAATTAATCATTTGAACATCAATTATCGGTGATGATTTAGGTGGCAGTTATGGCAT